TCCGCGGCATGTGGGATCCTCCCGGACCGGGGCACGAACCCGTGTCTCCTGCATCGGCAGGCGGACTCTCAACCACTGCGCCACCAGGGAAGGCCCTGTAAAATCTTTTATACCTGGAGTAAAATGGAGGTAGCCCCAGGACAAAGTATTTTGTATTTCTCTGTGAACCATTTCCTTGTAGTAACATCTTAATCACTTTTATTACTATAAGAGAATGCTTATATTATGTATTACTGTATCTGAGCACATCAGAATGGCTAAAATGTTATGATTACCTCAATTGTACTGAAAATTATATTCAAAACTTTCTTTTTGGTATTTTGTTCTATTGCATGTTTCAAGTGTTCCAAGCTGAATAACTTTTTGGTATTATTTAGATGTTAAGTGGAAATAAATTATGACATAGAATCTTACTTTGCATAGGAGCTGTCACAAAAACATGAACTTAGTGTCAGTGAAGACTTTTGTGGTCATTATTTCAAGAACAGCGAATGTTGGACAACAAAACATGAAAACTTAGATTGCAACAGTGGTTTACAGCTGTTTACCTCATTGAATGTGAGTACCTGTCTTGCGATGTTGAAATAGAATTTATGTTTCTCCCAGTGAATGCAAGTATCAGCTTCTGTTTTATCAGTATTTTGATAAAGGAAGGTGCTTAATTTGTCAGTTATTAGGTTTAGTTCCTTTGTGTGTGTGGCAGTACATAATAAGTGCAACCATTGTTCCATTTCTTTGTGCCTTTTGCAGCAGCATCCTTGAAAGAGGATCCTTTTATCATCCTTTCATGATTTGCTGTCATTCCATCCCTCGTCTCTCTTCTGCCCACCCCAGTCAGGGCTTTGCCCCCATCATCCCATCAGAACAGCTCTAGTCAAGGTCACCAGTGACCTCCATGTCATTAGATCCCTAGGTCTGTTACTCCTACTGAAGGTCTGTTAGTGTACTTGACTTACCAGCATTTAACACACTTGAACACTCTCCTTTGTGCACTCTCTCCTCCTAGCCTAGAAGACTAGCTTCTAAAATGTTAACAGCGGTCATCTCTGGGTGGTGAGGCTGTGGGTCATTTTAACTGATTTTTTGTCCTGTAAATTCTGAAATGAAAATGTCTTTAATAAAAATGTTAAAGGGTTGTTTTAAAACTTTGTGTCAAGGTATAATAAATATACATAAATTTACAGCAAAGTTTGCATATCAGCAGTGTAGGGCTTGATGAATTTTCACAACCTGAACCCACCCATGTGAATCCTGATCAAGATCAGGGCCTTTGAGCACCTCGAGCTCCCTTTGAGTTCCTACTACCCTCCCTGCCAACGGTAACCACTGCCCTGATTAAGGAAGTAATTTTTCAAAAGTAGGATTTTGTTACGCATGTTTGGGATACAGTGAGATTTGTTCTCTGGTGTTCAGCTTTGATCTTTACTTTTTTCATAACACATTTTTTTTCTTAATTGTTGAAACTATTTTTCCTTATGGAAATGCAACAATATAAAATGAAATTATTTTATTTTATTTTTCCAGAATAAAGAACTAACAACAAATACCGGAAATGTTACAAACCAGGAAGGGTCAGCGGTAAGTCATTTTATTTGCCTTTAAATCAAATGCATACAAGTTACAGTAAGACTGAGCAGAATCTGTTGATGGACAGATACTCAGAGAGTGATCTAAAGTAGGGTTAGTAGAGTTAGGAAAGAAAAAAGAAGCATTATTTAAAACAGTATATTTCCTTACATATGTCTGTGTGAATTTTGTACATACTTGGTTCTGTCTTTGTTTAAAAATCTCTTTAAAGGTGTGATTTAACAGTAACTTCTATGTAGTCTTTCTTTATTTTAAAAAATAAAATTCCGCTGCCAAATACCTGAGACAGCACAGCAGTGGGCTGAGCTGTATCGTCATTAAGGAAGTAAAGAAATAGGTAGAAACCATGATGTAGCACGAGGGGGAGGGGAAATTTGGAATTTGGGGAAAGTACTCAAAGTCAGAAGACTAAGAGGTTGAGAGGATTACAAGGAGTTGAGTGTAGGGACTGAAAGTGGATTTAGAAGAGCTTGATGTTTGCCTTTAGACTGGGACTCTTCTGCTTTTATACCGTTTTCTCCAGCCATCTTACAGAGTAGTCTGATAGTGGAAGGGCATTCACTCTGCAGTGGCTGGACCAACTCTTTGCTTTGCAGAAACTGTCACAGGTGGTGGAGTAGGAAATGAGAGGGAAGGATAGGAAATACTCAGGAAGGAGGAGCGTGAAAAGTTTGGTCCAGCTACGCGAGGGCACTGCAGGGTTCATAGGCAGTCCCAGTGGGCAGTTTCAGGCCTCAGTGGGACTGCTAGCAACAGAGTGCCTTAAGGAATTTAAATACTTTAGCCTGTACACCGAATCTGAGTCATTTCCCGCAATGTTATCTGACATCTTTCTCCCCCAGTTCAATTAAAAAAAACACACATTTAAAAACTGAATGCTTGGGACTTCCCTGGTGGTCCAGTGGTTAAGACTCCGTGCTTCCAATGCAGGCGGTGCGGGTTCAATCCCTGGTCAGGAAACTAAGATTCCACATGCCGCAGGGTGTGACCAAAAAGTATAAATAAATAGATAGATAGATAAATAAATAAATAAATGCTTGATTATACTAGGATATTAGAAAAACTATTTGAAAGGTAGTATTAAATAAAACATAGAATGGTAACATTGGGGGGGAAACCTGTAGAAATATAAAAAGTAGAAAACATTGGCAAGTGGAAAAGGCTTTTTTCCTCCTCCATCCCTTTGGGTCTGGGAGGATGGTGGTAAAAAAAAAAAAACAAATGGAGGAAATCCTTCCACTACCCGCTGTCCTTCCACAGCCCACCATTCCTTTTATCTGTGTTTTTTTTTTTTTTTTAAAGTAACCCAATTCAATTCTTAAAAGTTGTTTTAAAATGTGGTGGACAATCGTTTAGCTATATCTTATATAGCAATTTTAAAAAATAACATGAAGGATTTCTTTTTCTGTTTCAGGATGTTGTAGCCAAAACACAGAGAGATGGGTTTCATATCTTTATTGTTTCTATTAAAACAGAAAAAACAGATGCAAGCTGGAATTTGAATGGTATAGTTAAACAGTATGCATGTTTTATTGTCTGCTTTTACTGTATTCTGTATTTTTGTCATTAACCCAAATCTACATTCTCTGTTAAAACACATTATTCAAAAATGATTTTCTGTTAATCACAAAAATGAATAATCTGTTTATTTGGGGTACTTAGAACTTTATGCTTATCTTAACTCTAATATATATATATTTTTAATGGGATGGAAATTTTAAATTAATTTAAGATAAATTTTGGGAGTTCCCTGGTGGTCCAGTGGTTGGCACTCTGTGCTTCGGCTGCCAAGGGCCAGCGTTCAATCCCTGGTCGGGGAACTAGGATCCCACAAGCCGCACAGCATGGCCAAGAAAAAATAAAATAAAATAAAATAAATAAAAGGGTGAATCTTAAAAAAAAAGATAAATTTAACAAGTTTTAAACTTGATAGAGGGATACAAAATTCTCCATCCTTCCAGATTTAAAAAAAAAATTTTTTTTAACATGTAGAAATGGGTAGGTGACACCTCAGTTGTACTCGAAGTGGATTATATTCTGTTACTTGAAAATGGCCGTCATCAGGGGTTCAAAATTTTTGTTCTTTAAAGAGTTTAAGAAAAAAGAATCTGTTTGTAGCCTAGGAGTAGAATTAGCATGTCTGGCAACTGTGGCTTCTGTGGTCTGTGAGCTCCCCTGCCTGCCCATAAGGTAGATGCTCTTTGCCTCGTGAAACCGTAGCTCCTGGTGCCCAGTGTGAGAGCGGGCTCACACTAAGCGGTTTTCAAGGGAGCGAATGCTTCCATGGGTCCTGGAATTGCTTTAGCGGTCATTTTCTAGACCGGGTATCTGCTGGGCTGACAGTAGCCAAGCAGCATGTGAGGATCCTGGGGATTTGCAAACTGCTCTGATTCACCCACTGGGACACAGAAGTGAAGCCAGGCTGTGTCTCTGAGGGGCACCCAGTCCAGAGAGGAGGGAGAAAGCAGTGAGGTGAGTCAGGCATGGCCACAGAGGAGGCCCAGAGCTGGTCTTCCACGGGGAAGCTGGTGGGGGCGCTGCTCTGGAGAGTGTGAAGCAGGCCTTCCTCCCAGAGGTGCTGTAATGGGCCCAGACCATGCCACACAGGGAGCAGGGGCCTTGCTGCCATCCTGCTCCCCGGCCTGTGCGCCCTGCCTTCCCAGGTGTGGCGTCTTTTCCTCTGAGGCCAGCAGGCAGCTTTAAGCTTCTGCTGGTTAGTAATCGGCGCAGTCGCTAAGCCTTGCAGGTCTTACACTGTATTCGGCACTCTGTTTGTTATTACTCTTGGACAACACCCAAACTAGATTCTGGAGTTCAGTAAATTTTTTTTAATTTTTTAAATTAATCAATTAATTAATTTGGCTGTGCGGGGTTGCCGCATGCGGGATCTTCGTTGCACCGTGCGGGATCTTTAGTTGCAGCGTGTGGGATCTTACTTGCGGCATGCGAGATCTAGTTCCCTGACCAGGGATGGAACCCAGGCCCCCTGTATTGGGAGCTCGGAGTCGTAACCACCAGGGAAGTCCCTGGAGTTTAGTAATTTATCCAAGTTACATTAAGAAAGACAAAAGTCCTCAGCTAGGTCAGGGGCTCAGCCAGGGCCAATCTCAGACCAGGACTGCTTTGCTGTCTGCATAAGATCTGACTTGGCCCACACTTTACAAGAGCATGTATACAAATACGTAAGGATATCTTCATACAGTTACATAATCAAAGGTAAAAATTCAGCATTTGTTAACTTGGTTTGTATTCTTGGAGTCTTAAAATGAGCTTACATTGAAAAACTTAAGGAAAACTGGTTGTTAATTTTAATGCCTTAATTTCTTTATCCCCACCCTGCCTTCACCAGTTTCTCTTTCTATGATGGGGCCTCATGGATATATCTCTGCATCAGATTGGCCTCTGATGATTGTGAGTATCTCTCGTCGTTTCTTCCTTTTTTTAAAAATGAGTTTTGTATCCTAATTGGAACATTTAAACATTTTAAGAGCTCAGTGGTGGTAATTCCTTAGTAGCTAACACTTGGACATACCCTCTATTTCTGGTTCCATGGTGACTGGAAAATAAAGGATTGCAGACTTGAATGTAGAAATGCCAATTTTCAAATGGTCAAAAGGCTTAACTGACTAAACTTGCTTCCCCTCCCACAGTTCTACATGGTGATGTGTATCGTTTATATCTTATATGGCATACTCTGGCTGATGTGGTCTGCCTGCTATTGGAAAGATATATTAAGAATCCAGTTCTGGATTGCAGCTGTTATTTTCCTGGGAATGCTTGAAAAAGCAGTTTTTTATGCTGAATACCAAAACATCAACAGCACTGGGTTATCAAGTAAGTGGTGACTGTGTCCATGAATATGGTGTGACCCAAGAGTCGCCTAGCATTTGTGAGCAGAGCTGTGGGGACTCCCTGCCCCACCTTCATACAGTGGTTTGGGAACAACCATACAGGTGAAGAGGAGAGAAGCCAAGAAGAGAATATCAGAGTAGGACTCTGATCCAGGCTAGCATGTGTGTTGTCTTCATTTTCTGTTTTCTTCTTGCTGGCTTTCCCTTACTTCCCTCCCGGGGAAAAGAAAATTCCTGTTCCCTAAGGTTCAGCTACCCGTGACTGGCTTTAAACAACACGACGTTCTGGACTGGGGGACATCGGGGGCTGCCAATCCTTTTAACATATTTATTTGTATTTTTCCCCATCCTCTCTCTTCTCCTTTCCCCTCCAAAGAAGAAAAGAAAATTTGGCCACAGGGAGTGAAATTAGTAGTGCCAGGATGGATGGTGACTGCATCCTTTTTGCAAAGAACTTCATGGGACCGTGGGAGATACCATCCCAGCTTACACAGTGGAATGTGGCAAGCAGGCAGGGCATATAGTGGGGCATCCTCAGATGGGTGCCCCAGACTTCTAGAAGATAGAGTTGAAAAGGGCCAGAGAAGTAAAGGTACAATTAATTCCATCGCTGAACCTTCAAAAGGGAGACAGCTCAGAAGGATAGAAAGCCCTCAGGAATGTGCTTCTGAGTGGTCAGTTACAAATGATCGTGGTACAGATTTTCAAAGGGTGTAGTTGTGTCTGCTCTTTGTTTTAAAATACTCCGGGAAAAAAAAGAGGGTGAGTTGGAAAATAGATGAGACAAATTTAGCATAATGTTGATAATTATGGAAACTGAGTGACGGGTACATGGGAGTTCATTATATCGCTTTCTCTGTGTTGAAGAATGTTTGTAATTTCCCAAAATAAAAAGTTTAAAAAGACATGTACAAGACAATAAAGAAAAGACAAACATCCAGGGAGGCATGTTAGAGGTATTATTACCCTGTAAGAAGTTTTAGCGACGTGTGTGCATGTGTATGTGTGTGTGCCTGCCCTAAACCAGATAAGGAAGGAAGGATAGAGCTGCTGCTTATGACTGGGGGTTAAAGCATTCTTGAATGTCAGAGAAGGCGGGTCAGCTCCTTTGCTGCCAGTGGTGGGGCTCTCTGTCTAGAAGAGGGTGGCGTGAACTTGGGTGAAGGGCAGCAAAAGCCTGAGATCCATGGAGAGAAGGAAAGACCATCTATCTTCCTCAAGGCCTTCAAGCCCTCTGAGATGACACCAGAAGGCCCTTGGAAGAGAAACCCCAGACTGCTGTCCTTGTCTTTGAGGAGTCCTGTGGAAAGCAGAGGCGCCAGACGGGGCCTGGGCTGATGTTGTTTCTGATTTTCCCAAGCGTAAATTCTGTAACCCAGGCTGTCTTGCTTAGCATTGGTCCTGGAAGGATAGACTTCAGAAAAATCAAGCAATGATGATTTAGTGATTGTTAGGACCCAGCAAGGGTACATTAAGAATAGGTCGTGTCAGTTGACTTCTTTGTTTTGTGCTTCTAGATTGGCAGTTAGGCAAATGTAATAAATTTAGTATATCTGCACTCCTTCAAGGTATTGGGCAAGGCCTCTTGTGGTTTCTTCTAGAGAAGGCAGAGAGACATGAACTGAAAACAAGAATATTAGGTGGACTCACAACTCGTTTCTGAATGGCTTTCTCCTCTCCATCTTTACCGCCAGCACTCTCATCATCTCTTGGCTAAATTCTGGAAGACTCCTGAGCGTTTTCCTCACCTACAGTCTATTCCTCTCCAAGCCATTAAGTAGAGCAATCTTGATAAAATAAAGCTGTCTACTTTATTCCAAGGGTCAGCAAGCTTTTCCTGCCACGTCTACACAGTAAATATTTTTGGCTTTGCGAGCCATGTAGTCTGTGTTGCAACTTCTCAGCTACTGCCATTGGAGCATAAAAACTGCCACAGACAACAAATGGGCATGGCTGTGTTCCAATAAAACTTTATTTACAAAACAGATGTAGGGCCAGATTTGGCCTATGGGCTCTAGTTTACTAGTTCCTTTTTCACTCCCTTGTTTACTATCATTGACTTCCCACTGCCCTCAGCAACAAGCCCTGACTCATGGCCTAGCCTAAAACTGAGGTGATTGGGCCCTGCCTCTGCCCCAGCCTCTTTTCTTGACCTCCCTCGATACACGCTCTGCTGCAGACATGCCGAACTTTGACTTCTTGCAGCATATTTTGCTTTGTCTCTTTTTCCCTCCATGCCTTTGCATGTGCCATTTCCTTTGCTTTCCCCTTTCCCTCCTCCAAACGGTTAACTCCTACTCAGCCTTCAAACCCTGGTGTAGATGTCACTTCCTATGAGAAGATTTTCCTGCCCCGTGTGGATTAGGTCGCTTTCATCACAATCCTGGGAGATACAGTGTTACCTCCAGCACTTGCTGAATTCTGTCCATTTACTTGTCCCGACCAGAGTACAGGCTTCACGAGGGCAGGGAACATGGTGTGTCTTTTACTGTGATAGCTACACGGTAGGAGCGTGAATGAGTAAATGATGAGGGCAACCTGGAGAAAAGAGAGCTCTTGAGGGCGTTATGGTTTTCAGATATTTACAGGACAGGAAAGGGCTACAATCCTTTGTAGCCTCAAGGGGAAGAATAAGAACAGAGGGGAGCTCAGGGAGACAGATTTCCAGTGGACGTGAGACAGCTGTGCCCAGTAGAGCCGATCAGAATCCCCTTCATTGAGGTTTCAAACATCACTTGGATTAGATGACCTTTAAATTAAACGTGGCAAATTCGTCTGAGGTCAGGACGTAACTGTACACAGTACACATTTAGACTCTTGGCAGCAGGCGTCCAGATGGACCCAGAGCGAATGATTTTCCTTCGTCCCCCCTCAGCCCAGCGTTTACTGATCTTTGCGGAGTTGATATCTGCGATTAAGAGGACGCTGGCTCGCCTCCTGGTGATCATTGTGAGCTTGGGATACGGCATTGTGAAGTAAGTACCGGGACCCAGAAAAGACACCGTGTCCCCATCCTGTGATCCATTCATCTCCGCTATGACCCCTGTGAAACCCAACACCTCTCAGTGTCGTAACACAAATCCCAGAGGGAAATACCTGCAAGGACGTGTTTTTAAAAGATTTCCATGCACTGTGGCTATTTTATTCTTTTCTCAAATAAAGATCCTGAAGTTGAATTCCAGTAACTTCATAATTAGATGAATAATCAACTATAAGGATTATGGACAATTTTAAATGATTCTCGAAGTTCAGACCATTTTCTGTTTCCTAGACAGCATAGTTGGGGGTCATGTTTGTGTATGAGATATCGTAAGAGAGAACGCTCTAATTAAACACCAGGTTCAGC